TTTGTTTGGCCCGACCGACCTCCCCAGCTTCACGAATTGGAAGGCGGTGACCCTATTCAAGTTCGTGTTTTTGAGTCCTTAGTGCGAAAGAAATCTAAATTTTCGTGCAACTCTTCAAACCAATCAGCATTTTTTTATCATTAATTTTCATTATGTCCAAGGGTTTCTTATTTTAGACGAATTTCAGACGTACTAGGAAGTCGAAAGTTGTAGCTAAGGACATAAGCTTAGACGAAAAGAGTCGTGCCCTACTTCCTTCGATATACATGCACCTTCGTTATCGTTAAAAGGATGCTACAAGGTCTTATAATAATTACCGCAATTCCTGGTTCAAGATTAAATTAAAACCTCTCACGTTTGTAAAAAAAAAAAGACATGTTTCCCTTTCAATAGCTAATAAAACATACGCGTCATTATACAGCAATTGTAACGTTCCTTCTCAAATAGAGGTAAAGGAAAGATTTCTAACCAGATCACGAATATCTGTTTGTAGGCCTGTTGTGTAGACTCTCACGTTTGTTTTTTCATGCTTTCTGTTATTGTTCGCAATTTCCTGTCTAGACGTAGGCACCATCGTTCTGCATCTTGCATTGAAAATTGCTGTGTGGTCCATTCCCCTGGTACAGCCGCGTGGTTTTTTATGGCTTCCGATCCGGATTTTCCTTCCAAAAGAACAGGGTCAATACGTGACCATTTCATTTGTTAAACGTGTGTCGTAGGACAAGTGGACTTATAGTTTTAATCCAGGATACCGCCCAGAGTTTTTCGTCTTGTGTTTTTTTTTTACTTACCCCAGTCGTTTTCATGAATAAAACATTCGCTACTCACTGAGGGTCGATTCACCTATGGGCCTGAACTAGATTCCATTATGGCTTATAGTGCGATCGAACTGCATGACAAGAAAGACCCCGAAATGATTCCTTTGACTGTAATTAGCATAAAAGTGAATGAAACAACCATCAAACATGCCGCTCGACAACACCTTTATCTGGACAGACAGGAATACGAACTATTTGGCATTTCTTATTCGCCAGGCATCCATTCAAGAGGAACAGCACACACCACTGGCTTATAGGCGCCCGTTGTACTGTCGCAATTTGTAATAATCATCGCACTTTGTAATACCTGTCGCAATTTGTAATAAATCCATCGCACTTTGTAATAAAAAAGCTGTCGCAATTTGTAACAACTGTCCATCGCACTTTGTGATAAACTAAGCTGTCGCAATTTGTAATAATTCCATCGCACTTTGTAATAACTTTTTGAGAGTAATTAAACTTACTTCGTCAACATTAATATAACGCCAAAATATGCATGGTACTTCATAAACAAAGATGGAGATGACGTCTGCTAGCACGTAACAACTCCGCTCATTCAAACACTTGACTTTATTAACAGTCCTAAACATTTTTTTTAGATTAATGTTGGTTAATTATCTTATTTCCGAAGTGCTGTATTCTTAAACCTTGCTATTGTACTAGGTGGCTTGCATTCAATGGTTACCCGGCGGGTGTACTTCCTTATATGGCCAATACGGGGATGCGCCTCTGGACAGAGCATTGCCAGAGTACAGGATCTAGACAGAGCTACACACACTAGAGACAAACGAGCCATCATTAAAAAGCATTTAATTTCCGCAAATCGTAACATCCATCCTACACCATTCGAATAAGGACACCAGGAGAGTTCAAGCTTTCCTTGTTAGATCTTATAACAGGTCGACGCAACACGTGGTGGGTGCACCGTCCTTGTCTAACGCGCAATCTTAAAGAAGTAATAGTGGCTTCCATATGCATATTTTGGCCAACTAAATCAAACGAGGCCTGGAAAGATTCAAAATGTTTAGTGCAAATTAAAAAAAAAGCACCTCACCAGTCGCAAACCGTCGAACCACAACAGAAACCTAAACACAAAATCCAGTTAGTCGCTGGCCAATACCTTCGAATGTACCTGTTTTTATAACACTCACTTAGGGTCTTACACTGAGCCGGCTGGCCATTTGGTCCATTATTCTCACTTGATTTGGTCCCATATAGGAACAAAAGGAGTACTCATTCCATAGTAAAACAATTGTTTTCCATAAGGAGTCCTCTAACACATATACCATAGAGATAGTAGAAAATTATCCTTCCCTGAGTATAAACAACTCGTAAGACCTTGCAATTCATCCGAGCGTGTTCTGGATTACTGTTTTTCCACAAAATGGAAAGGATGGAGTAAACCATCCATTACTACTTGAGTTACCCTATCTAAGGATCAAACCAAAGACACAAGGCCAACAACGTAAGAAATGATACGTATTAAAGGCTCGAGATCCTCAAAAACCATACCCTATCAGGCGGTACTTACCTATCTAGCCCATCCATATATAGGATTATCCCCCCCCCCGAAGACTTCACGTGTCACGTGGCAAGCAGGCATGGATTTTGACGACGAATGCCAGGTTATTCATGAATTTTCTTTTGTTAAATGTTGCTCTTGTTATTTAAATATTTTTTAA